ATGAATATTATTGGAGCTCCTGAAGAGCTTCCTAAAGCAGTTATTGCATGAATAAATTGAAGGATTCTAAGATCCTTTTATGGGCAAGGAAAGTTATGTTGAAAAGGTGAAAAAGTAATTTTGCATGAATAAATTATGCTCATCAAATAACATAGGATTCTAAGATCACTAGAAGTGACCAAAGATCCGTTTAGGAATCAAGAAAGAAGTGAAACATTAAATCCTTAAGTACTATATGTTGATGTACTAGGTCCTGAATTACCATATATTGATGCGTTAGAGCACCATACAAATTACAAACAATCATTTTGGTGTTGATAATATTAGCAAAATACAATTTTTCCCTCCATGGAACGTTGGGAAATACTTTGTTACCTTTAGGAACAATATATGCTATTGTTCTATTATGGTGAACTATATATCCAAATCCTATATATTATTTGATCCTCATATTGGTTTATTGCAGACGAGCTATCTCTTACATATGGTGATGTGACTGTTTCATAGAGATCCAAAACAAATTATAGTAGGCAAGTCTTGAATGTATTTCGTTGGACTTTGTGATTCACTATATCTAAAGGACATGTGTCTGTGAAATATTTTCAAAGGAAATGATCCCGACGATCATATATGAAGAAAATCTAAAGATCATGCATCAAATTGACAATATAGAAGATTGCTCACTAACTCACTCCCAACAACCATCTTTCTAAAAGTTGTTCGTGAAATTTGAGTTCAACGACTCAAAGATCTGAAGTGATGTGGTCATGAGGGGGAGCATATACCCACTACACTCTTTTTCCCACTGGATTTTTCATGGTAAGTTTTTTAACGAGGCAGTATGAGATAGCGTAATGCAATCTACTGGTCATCCAAGGGGGAGTATTATGTAAATATTGATATATGAATGACCATTGCCATTAGGGCTGGAAGTTTGGTACCGGTATTTGGGATATACCGAATACCGTACCGAATTTGTCTATATTTCGTATTATCGAATACACGTATTATTTCTTGGGATTGGGAGTGAGGTTTAATTTCAATTGTTATTCGGCATCAGGGATTACGGGATTTGGATCGATAATATACCGAAATACCGAAATATAAGCTAGTGTGTATTTTATGCTCTCAACTAAACTCTCTCATTCACTACTACACGACACTTAACCACCAATCTATTGTTATTTTCATAACACCAAAAAACAAACACTAGTATTAGTCTTCTCTCAGCCTCCAATTCATCAAATTAAAAATTACCAATGACAAAAACTTGAGATGTCACCTCTCCTCCATTCTCCTTATCTATATCCTAGCTCTAGCAAACTCAATACTCTTTGCTTAGTCTCTTTGTCCTATATGAAACAATCAAATCTAATTTATATATTAATTATTAATTTCAAACGTAATTAATTTCTTATTCGATAATACCGATTGGGATACCGAAATATTTAGGGATTGGGATACCGAAATTATATAGGGATTGAGATTGAGATTGAATTTAGGATGTAATTCGGGATTTTGATATTTGATATTGGGATACCGATACCGTACCAATTTTCACTCCTAATTGCCATTACCACATTAGATACTCGCTAGGGAGTTGCATTGATATAAGGATGTAGTGGTTACCAAGGTGTGCCTATAAATAGAGCATATCATTGTATCAAAAGTGAAGAATGAATAAGAAGAACTATTCCCCTCTCTTCTCTTGTGTCTTTCTCTTTCTAATCTTCTCTTCTTCTTTTTTTAGCAATAGACAAATGACATTACCAAAATCAAGAGATATCACGGTTTACAATCCAAAAAGAAACCAACGATCAAAATCAAAACTCTCAACAACTGCAGGTAACAAAGAAAGGGTCTTCCTGGCCACATAGTTGTTTATATTTCTCATTAGTTTCATAACATCTTTCATCTTTATTTGTCCATGATGTGTTTTTTTCCAAAACTAGCTTGGACCCGACCATTTGGCCGGAATATTTACATTTGTTTGGTAACATATCTCACTCATAAATTTTTTTTATTAAATTAAAGTTATTAAGTAGGGTGAAAGTCGGTAGTGGATCACTAAGCCTGATAAAGAGGCTGGGAAGCAAAGAAGAGAAAGTATACACAAAATTAGTAACAACTCGAGTTATGAGGATCAACTAGTTTAATAAAGCCATCCTTGCAAAACAGATATGGAATATCCACACAAGGCCTGATTCTCTAGTTGCAAGGCTTCTTAAAGCCAGCTACTACCCTAGAGGCACGATTATGGAGGCAAAAATGGGATGGCAACCTAGCTACATCTGGCGGAGTCTAATGGGAGCTGTTGACTTGATTAACCATGGATGCAGATGGAGGATTGGATCGGGGGAGGATGTGAAGATATGGGGTGACAGGTGGGTGCCAGGACTAGAGAATTTTCAAGTGTATTCTTATAGTCCTTTTATGGAACTGGATGCAAAGGTCTCTTGTTTAATTGACCAGGAGAAGAGAGAATGGAGGAAAGACTTACTGGAGCTGATATTCGCAAGAGAAGAAGCAGAAGCCATTCTAGCAATTCCCCTCTCGACATATATTGACAAAGACAAACTGTGCTGGACAGGGAATGAAAATGGAATTTACACGGTCAAGTCTGGATATCATGTTGAGATCAATAGACAAAATGATAGAATGAATGACGAAGCGGGGAGTGCAAATGAAGAAACTTTCTGCTGGAAAAAGCTATGGAAACTAAATGTGTCTGGGAAGTTGAAGATATTCCTTTGGAAAGCTGCTCACAACATCCTTCCAGTGGGGGCAAAGTTGAGGAGCAGGGTTAAAAGTCTGGGTGATGAGGGTCCAAATTGTGGCATGAAAGAGACTCTAAAACATTGCTTGATGGACTGTAGTTGAATTGGTAGAATATGGAGCAAAACCCCCCATTGAAAAACTGTTCTATTGTGCAGAAAATCTAACTTGCAGGGCATGGTTGACGAAAATTATCAAGGAAGCAAAGGAGGAAGATCTGAGTAGATTTTGTACTCTCCTATGGTTTTTCTGGAAAGAAAGAAACAACTTTCTCTTCAATAAGAAAATTATGCAGGAATGGGAAGTGTTCTCAAAGGCAGACAATTTCATACAAGACTTCATGGAAGTGCAGGGAAAGGAAAAGGAAAGACACAATGAAATGAGAAATAAAGAGGACAAGTGGAAGAAACCCCCACCTGGATACTACAAGATCAATGTTGATGCAGGAATAAACAACATAGGACACTCTGGATTGGGATGCATAATCAGAAATGCTGAGGGTAAAATGGTGATGGTTGCAGCAAGAAGTGAGGAGGTCAAATGGGATCCTGAAGTTGCAGAAGGGAAAGCAATCCTCTTTGGGCTCCAGGAGGCTTTTGAAAGGGGAATAGGGCCCCTCATTGTGGAATCAGACTGCAAAAAGCTAATAGAAAGAATCAAAAGGCAAGAACAATGGGAGCATTTGTTGTGATATCATAACAATGGGAAGTTTAACAGGAGTAAGATTCTGATCTTTTGCACCTAGAGCTTTAAATAGTGCAGCTCACATTCTAGCACATTTTCACTTTGTTAACGATGGTGAATTTTGCTGGGAAGATTCTGTCCCACTTCCTATATCTGATGTAGTGGCCCAAGAGGCAATCTTTGATTGAGTTGTCAATGAAAGCACCCATCAGTTTCCCCTAAAAAAACTAGTTCTTGGCAGGTCTTAGGTTACGTCAAAGACAACAGTTGAATAAATTATTTTCACAACAAATTTCTGATGGTTTTTAGATTATTATATAGATTGATATACCCTAACGAAAAATTAAGAGGAGAACCACAAATTTTGAATGGTGAAAATCTTGTAAAACTCCACCATCTATTATTTTTAATTATGAAGTCCGATTGGTGAAAATCAAAAGTGACCTTAATGTTCTATAGAATCTCATGCTTGTGAAGCAATTACATGGTGTAATACTCATAACACCAAATTATATATAGGTTTAGATGACAGGTTAAATCTCATTCATTGGTGTCTATTTAATATTTGTATTAAAGATTGGTGGAGCTTGTAAAATGTAAATACGTAATTTGATTAGTAATTAAACTTGGTGATTTAAGTTTCTATCCACTCTTTCCTTTCATAACAAACATCTCACACTATTATTTTCCTTTTTCTTATTACCTATAAATAATTTTCCTATTGAAACTAAATTTTTTCAAAAACCTCAAAACAGCCAAATCTTCTTTAACGATTAGGACTAAGGAGTGGGCTTTGAAATTGGGCCCAATAAGTGGCAATAGCTCTAATAATTGCCGGCAAAGTGAAAAAAGAAGAAGAAAGATACCGCCTCATTTTTTAGCGGGATTATAGAAAGTAACATGACTAATATGTCCCTGCCAAAAATTAAGGAGAGTGCATGATTTTTTGAATGCTGTAAAATTCCAACATCTTATATTCTTTTGATTTGATTTGATTTGATTAGTAGACCATTCATTAAATTCAATAATGATTATTTAAAGAGTTCAAACCTTTACGTAAAGAAAGAGAAAAAGAATAGAGAAACCAAAACGAAATATAATTAATTCAACAATTGTACTTATCCAACCACATAAACGAAACAACCCTAATAATTCAAATGGTCAGGGTTAAGAGTAGTTGGAATTTATCCATCATAGAAGAAGGAAACAAAGCAAGTAAGCAACCTTCAAAAATAAAAATGAAGAAGAAAAGCAGACAGAAGTCGTCGTAATCACCGCCATATGTAGAATTAATTAATTAACCGCCAAAAAAGCCTAGAAATTAAAAGAAATAACGCGAAACAAAAAGCATTTTTCTTTTGTTTCTTCTTCTTATTTCGCGTTCTCTCGTGTCCCTCCTCGTGCTTCTTTCTGTTCGCTCTCTCTCTCTAAACCGAAAACGAGTCGTTTCAGCGATCAAAACAGTCGAAAAATAAAACTTTTTTTCTTCTTTAAATCCAAAATCCTTTTTCCCCAAATTATCAATTTTGCACCAGGTGGAAATGGCTACCCCGCTTTCCTCTTCTCCTCCCGATCCTTCTCCCTCCCCTCCCCAAGCTTCTTCCTCTCCTCCTTCTTCGTCGCCCGTCACCTCCACCATCGCCGCCGCCGACGACGATCAACAGCAAGACCTATCTCAGCAACAACAGAATCAAGCGGCAGCTGAAGAAAAAGAGTGCCTGTACAAGACCAAAACCGTACAGTTCTTGGGACGCACCACCTCAATCGTCCTCCAAAACGACAATGGACCTTGTCCTCTCCTTGGCATCTGTAATCTTTCCCTCACTCACACCTCTGTCTGTCTCCGTTAGGGTTTTCACATTTTCTTGCTCACTTTGATTGGTTCCCGAGGGGGAGTGGAAGAGGGAACAATTAGGTTTTCTTGATAGGAGATGAATGAGTAGTTGCGAATTTGTGTGTGGGGAATTTCTAGGTTAACTGCTGGGGTTCTTATTTCTTAGACTAAGTTCAGAACTGCACTTTCCTTTTTTCGAATTGAGAATTTTCGAGGAACAATCCCATGGCTAGTAGGAGTTCTAGTTGATGGAGGTAATCAAGGTCGAGTTTCTAAATGCTAGATTGCCAAAGTTTCTCCGTTTGGTATCTGTAAGTATCACCATTGGCTCATACAAATCGGCGATGGACTAATCTAACTTGGACTCTTCTTGTCCAATTTTGTACAAAATCACAACTTTATGATTCTATCTATAGCTTTAATCTGTAGAGAATAGGCAGTATCATTGTTAATTCTATAAGTTCCAACAAGTGGGCGTTGGTAAGTGATCAGCAGTGGCCCCTGGGGGTTGTTCTTTTAACCAAGATTGTGATGCTTCACAACACTACTGCAGAATTTTCAATTCCCCTGTGCATCACTGAAATGAGTTATTGAACATAATGCTACTGAAGTTGTTATTGGGCACCAGGTGATGGGATGACTCTGGTGTTAGACATAGTAGTGACAGGCCGTTTCTGTATGGTTAGATAGTAAAGGGCCTAAATGCAGTTAGTTTGGTGTTTCCTCTCTCAGATGAAAAATCTGTTTGTTGGGAATAAGTGTTTACGACAATGATCCAACACCATCTCATCTCATTTCCAAACCGGTTTGCTTTTCAGTTTGAAATTTTGACATTCAATGATGTGACTTTCAGTCCTGGATTATGTTTGGAGCACATTCATCTTGTCATTGAATGATGTGACTTCATTTCCTAAATATGATTCTGCTTGGTTAACTGTTTTCATTTGTGCATATCTCTTTGGTACTTCTCTCTTTCTTTGTAACTAAATATTTTCCCATTTTTTTGGCTGTAGGTAATGTTCTGCTGTTAAGGAACATCATAAGTTTGAGCCCGGATGTTGCTGACGTCTCACAAGAGAAATTGCTTTCACTTGTTGCTGAACGGCTTATTGATTCCAACAGTAACATAGATGTAATTGTTAACACAATGTGTTCTTGTCGGCTTTGTTATCTAATACTCACCTCAGCATTTGACTGTTCCATATACTTGCAGAATAAAGATGCAGGTTTTGTGGAGAATCAACAACAGAATATTGCAGATGCAATAGATTTGCTTCCAAGACTTGCCACTGGAATTGATGTAAATTTAAAATTTAGGAGGTTAGTGTCTTCTTTCAATCTGCCATGTTAGCTGTTTTCTCCTTGTGTGAGAGGAAAGAGAGAAGGGGGCAGGGGCATTGTTAGTTTTCCTTTGGCTGACTGGGGTACTTGTGCAGGATAGATGATTTTGAGTTCACCCGAGAATGTGCCATATTTGATCTGCTTGACATTCCTTTATATCATGGTTGGATTGTTGATCCTCAGGTATGTTTCATTTCCCAAAACCTATTTTCAGTTGCAACTGAATCATAGAGAATTGTTTTTCATTTTACCTTTTTGTTGTTTCGATCAAATAGATCGAATCTTTGATTGGTGTTTTCTTTGCTACCGAATCACCTTTGCTGGTAGTTAAGAAATTTGAATGGCTGGATCTTGCATAATTTATCTTTGCTGGTTACTCTGTTGAACGAATGTATACCTTGGAAGTATAGAAAACCTTGACCCGGCGGAATCGTCACATTCAAATGAGACTCTCAGATTTCCTGGTCTCCTAATTCTGAATTGTATCATATGTGTACTTTCTGCAAGTAATGCTGGTCTGCATGTTGTCATGCTGCAATTTTCTCCTGACTATACTATCTGCCATCTGGAAGGCTTTTTTCCCCTCAAGACAGTAATCTCATTCGTTACTTGAATACTTCACTGGCTTGTCTATTTTCTTCTTGTATGATTCTCCTCGTTTTTAGATTTAACTGGTTGCAGTTCATTTGCATCTATAGTATGAGGTGTTTTTTCCCCATTTAAGTGAGTCATCCATACTTCAATAGTGACTGAACAGGGAGCTCTCTTTATTCTCTCTAATATTCTGAGATTAAGGCTGTGTTGGTTCTGCATTTCCTCCACACGTTTGTGGTGACAGTTCTCTGAAGTAAGATACTCATGGAAGTCTTAATGTGGGTTTTAGAATCTACTCGGTAGATGTTCTAATCTCCTTTTTATCTTCATGGTTCAGGATGGAGATACAGCTGATGCCATTGGGTCGAAATCGTATAATACTCTTATGGGGGACCTTGTTGCCCTTGAAACACAAAAGATGGAGGATGATGAAAATAAGAATAACCCCGAAGGGGATTCTGTGGATTTTGCTGCTGCTGCAACTGCAGTTCTGGGTGTTCCTTCTCCATCACTTTCAAAAACTAGATCTTTTGAAGAATCTCCTCGTTCAGACATTGAGAATAGCGAGTTGAAGAAAGGAGACCGAGAAGAAGAAGCTGAGCTACAGAGAGCTTTGAGAATGTCTGAAACTAGCCCGCAAACTGCAGATGGTGCCTCTCTTTTAACAGCTAATGGTCATACTGAGCTTGGATCTGTTGATCAAGGTGAAGCTCCATTTTCCAAAGGAAGTTCTCCTGTAGATATTATCAAGGAGCATACTTTAACTGATGCTAATAATGGTTCATTTAGTAATGGTCATTGTGAGCCCATATCTGTAGAAAACCCCGGTGAGGAGATCTTATCTTCGCCTTTGAAGACTGAACAGACTAACCACATTGAACAGTCTAGTTCTCCAAACTATGGGGAATCTGACTTGAGCAATAGCACACCATATGTACAGGTCTCTAGTAAGGTTTTGATTCAGCAGAATGATCTCAAGCCTGGTGTGGCAGAAGATGGCGGGTCTGTATCTGTGGGTGAATTTGATATCCCTATAAAGCAAGACCCTGCAGATACATCACACAGTGAGAAGGCCGAGACTCAATTTGGTTCTAACCTTGACATCCATGGACAAGTAGACCTAAGTAGGCATGGCTCTGATGAGGTGTCACATTTATCTCCATCAAGTCCTGCTACAGAATCATCCAGTGGGTTAGTGCAGAACAAGGATGTAACTGAACCTTACTCCCCAAGCGTTGATGGTAGTGAACCCATATACGAGGGTGAAGAATGCATATTGGATTCAGGAACTCCGAAGTTTGATGATGGGGAGCCTGTGTACGAGGGTGAGGTTATTCTTGCTGAACAAGTTGATAAATCTGTGGGATCCAAAGATGGTATCACTCCACAACAAGGTCTGTGGCCTTCTGCTGGGCAATATGTTTGCTGATTAGTACATCCTGTTTATGCTGGCTAACTTTTTCTAAAGTTATTTTACAATGTTTTGTTGATTTGCCAAAATATGACACTTCTTATACTACCAATGAGCGGTTCTTTAGTAGCTACTTATGAGTTTTTTTTTTTTTTTTTTTTTGGTTCGCTAGGAGAGCTAATAAGGAGCTTTTTGAAGAACAATGCCAGCCAGTTGACCTTTTACGGGTGAGTTGATTCCTTTTTGTGCTATGGTTTTCCAATTCCTTCTGGAGAAGTCCGTACCATGGCTAAAAATATTTTTGTCTTTCACTGCATTGTTCTCTCCAGCCTTTTTTGCCTGCAAGAGGGTCTAAAGGAGCGTGAACTTTGTGTGTTTTTCCGAAATAACCACTTCAGCACCATGTTTAAGGTTGGGAATGGTTTCAGCTAAGCATCTTTATATGATCCTGTTGTTTTGGTTACTAACATTATGAAACTTGCAGTTTAAAGGCGAGCTTTATCTCCTAGCTACTGACCAAGGTTATCTGAACCAGCCTGATTTGGTGTGGGAAAAGCTCAATGAGGTAACCTTGTCCTTCTTTATCTGCACTAAGCTGGACTCAATCTAGATTTGATTATTTAACTCATCCAGGCACTCTCAATTTTGAAAATGCTCGTGTTTTTTATGAAATTGTTATTTAGTTACTGATTGTGAAAACTCTGGTTCCTGCTTTGGTAGTATATTATACAGAAGTGAGAAAATAGCATCATACAGATACAGTTGAATGCTTTTGTGCCCTTCCCTGTCAGTTTACTTTCTGCATTATTTTCTTTCTTTCCAATATCTGTACCAACCATTATTTAGATAATTTTTTTGTGCTAATTATAAATGCCTTGTTATGATGCTTTCTCAACTCTGCTATATATTCTTATGGATCCTTCTGTGTGTTCTGACTTGCAATCCTTTTGCTATTCAGGTCAATGGAGATACATTGTTTATGACATACAATTTCAGGGAATTCAAGGTGGAAAGTCACACTAACGACTCTTGGAATGAGCAGAATGCAATGGCCAGCACTGCTGTATGTTTGTTCTTTCTTAGGATGGAAATCAAATTTATTCTATTATTATGCCAGCTTTCGATCTATGCACGCCTCTTTGCAACTTACTTGCTGCGCTTGCTTGCCCCAGGACTATCTTGCAAACATGGATACAGCTGCACGGGATGGTGACATAAGGTAATTGCTCTGAATTGAGTCATTTGCCGTGTTGATTGTGCTTTTTCATATATACACATACACTTGCTTCTTTTTGTCGCCCTTTCTCCTGTAGAACCTCATTCCAGACTCATCCGATGGAACATTTTTGTTGTTGCAGTTCTGATCTCCAACTGGCAATCGCTCTGCAGCAACAGGAGTTTGAACAGCAAGAGCCACAACGCCACAACTCACAGCCACTGTCTTTGGGGGGAAGTGAATCGGGACTCATAACTGGTCCTCCGGTAAGTCTTATACCACATTTTCACGTAAATGACCATCCAAAAAAAATAAGTCGCTCGTAGGTTTAGCTCCAGATTAGTGCTCTGTTATTCCGTCTCTTTGGAAGTAATCTCTATCTTTTGATTGCCAACTTAAACAAAGACTACACTTTTGGCAGGCACCCAGAACCGGGGCCAGAACAGCAACACCATCCAGGGTCGAGGTGAAAGCTAAGGAGAAGGACAAGTCGTCGTGTACCGTGATGTGATGAATTTGGTGCGACGAGGGCAGATCTTTCAAGTTATTGTTTACACTGTAAATGGTTTGTACTCTTGGCCCTCTCAGTTGTATCCTCACTGTATAACCTGCGAAATCGCCTGTTGTTTTCTTTCCTCTCTTTCCTTCTCCAGTTGTAAAAATACCGTCTAACAGTAAATAGTGTATGGAATAGGGACCTTTTTTTGCAAGTTTCAAATGACCGGCGGAGACTGCGACGGTGATGAAGGGTCATTTGTTGAACTTGAAGTATCCGGTGGAAGTGGATCCCACCGGTAAAATGAGGGCCCTCCGTACCTGGTTGCGTTGCTTTCCCGGACGTCGGTGGCAATATTTTGGGGTCGTTTATTGCGATTCAGGAAAATCTCACCATCTGATTGATAGGCGCGGCGCGGAGGGGACTAAAATAATAAACTTTAGAAACATCGTGGGCCGAAACAGATAGGGATATTTTACTTGTGCGCCTACCAAAAACGACCTCATAATTCATAACCAAATGGCCAAATAGTTTTTAGGATTTGGATCAAGGTGTCAAGTGGCATGTAATGTTCCTCGTCATAAGCAGCCTTACTAGAGCTTAACAACACTTACAATCATACTTTGTAAACACACGGTAGGGTATATAAAATATGTATGGATATTATATCTTGTCACTAAATTAATATTTTGTCTAATAGTATATCAATAGTCATAATTGAATACTGAGTATTAAACGTGTTATAAGAGTGAATGTGTTTAGCACAAGAGTCAATCACAAGAAAAAGAAGTGATTTGGCAATAGTATGAAAACAAAAAATTGAAACATATAAATTTTTTTTTTTTTACAATAACATATAAAATACATACGTTCATATATGCGCGTATGAAATGAAATATTTACTAAGAATGGTTATGATTGTCATGAAGTCGTAAGTGCCTCTCGATCTTTGGCCGTTGCATGGCTCAACTAGTTGTTTGAGCATCTTCCACCTACAAATTAGCAGCAGATTCGTTTGCTTGTTGGATTTGAAAATGAGAGTTTTGAGTTTTCAAAACCTTTGGATTTATGATGGATTTGTTGCATTATGGATTTGGAAGAGTACATTGTTTGTGTAGTTTATTTTTGTCATAGATTCATGATGGATTTGTTCACATTTTGCCTTCCATTATCAAATCCCAAATGAAATGTGGGATTTGCAAATCCGTGGGGCCCACGGATTTGTGTCCCTTAGCAAACAATGGACTTGTGCCAATTCCATTATGCTTGGGATTTGGGTACCAAATCCATCACCCAAATTTCATAAGCAAATGATACCTAAATTCTTATTGTCCTACCGCTGCTAATTTGTAATGGGTGAATCTCTGATGATAATTATCTTTTCTTTTTGGTGAAACTGATGATAATTATCTATACTCAAATAATATGATGAATTTAATCAAAATTAATAATCAATCAATCTTATTCATCAAAGTTTATCTAACTACGGGGTCGTTTGGTTTCGGTGATAGTTTGGTTGGGATAGTTAAATGCATGCAATGTCCACAATGAATTTTTTTTTTTTAATTTTCTGCGCAAACAATGCATTGTTTGCTTGATTTGACACAAACTATCACTCAAAATGAGTGATAGTTAAATCTCAAGTTTTCGTTGAGATTGTTGAGATTGTTTGATGGAGATTGTTGTGTTTTTTCTTCTTCCAAATATGTCCCTACATTTTTATGTGTGTTGCTTTTTTATATTAAAAACAAAAGATAAAAGTGACATTTCACCCAAAAAGTGATATAATTTATTTAAAATACTACAATAATTATCACAGAAACCAAACGATGTAAACTATAATACACCAATTTTCTTATATACATGTATAATATTATACATGCATTGATGATAATACATCAATTTAACTGTCACCAAAATTGAGAGTAATGATTAATCGTCCAAAAGAAAATGACAAATCAGCAAATCATGCACATATAAAAAATAATCATTAGAGCAGTAAAACTATTAAATTTTAAATCAAATCTTTAAAGTCAGCACTCAGCAGTGAGCACCCAGATCTCTGATGATACAAATTAAATAACAGTATTATATTAGCCACGTGAAACAAGTTCCACTTTTCTACTTATATTCTCCAGAATTAATTCCTGGGTCCCTTATGATTATGAAAATTAAAACATTGACACCCCAAGATAAATGTCCTTTATTTTATTTTATTTTATTTTATTTTTTTACAAAAAGAGATTCTTTCTTTCATTAAAAACGTTTATTTTAATATCACAGACACATTGAGTATATGGATCCGATCTCCAGGAAGGGTTTCATTAACAACATATTTTGTAAGTCAGTTTGCATCTTAGTTAATTTTTCAAATAATAGTAATAAAAGCATAAGGCTAAATTGCAAATTTGCTAACTAAAATTACTTAAAAATTTTACCTTTACCACTAAAATTAATTTATTTCATCCGTAGTTATTTAAATTAAGTTAACAGTTCAAGTTTGGTTACTGGTTGTTAGTCTCCGTTTTCGTTTGCTGATGTGGCGGTCAACTTTTCTCGTTGACCGTTAAATGAGTGACATGGCAATTAAACTAATAATAAAAAATAAAATTTAATTATTTTTTATTTTCCACCTAATTAATTCAAAAATTAAGAATAAATCCTAACTTGCCGCTAACTTCTCTTCGGTCACCGGGTTGAGAAGGTAAACGCAGTTGCCGACGGGGCCGAAGGAGGACCAACCAGCCGTCGCTGGAACCCACGCTGCGGCTGGTCCCTGTGTTTGCGAACGAGGCGACCAAGTTCGCCGCCGGGGGATCGAAGGAGGGCGTGCGGTCCAGATCGAGGAAGAAGCGATGGGGTTCTTCTCTTCTCTACATTAATTCTGCTGTCGGTAGTCTCTGCTTCCCTTCTCTTCTCCGCCACCGCCTCCGACGACCGGTGGGATGCCCACTGCCACCTCCGGGTCCAGTCCCAGGAACGATTCTAGGCTTGAGATTTGCTCTTCCAGCTCGTACGGCCTACCCACCACATCAGCCGCCATCGGCGGTGGCTCATTATTATCGATTCCGAAACCAAGAAATGGTTACGCCGCCATCAGAGGAGGAAGAAGAGCGGGTTAGGATCCGTCGGTGAAGCACCGCTTCTTGGTTGGCGGTTGATTATCGGAAGATGCTGCTGCTGCTTCTTCTTCTCCGCCCTCGTCTCCCGGTGGCGGCGGAGGGAACTTTGAGGCGTTGGAGATGTCCGGAAAATTTAGCTTGGCCTTGTCGCCACGGATCCGCTTGGCGGCGCCGTCTAGGTCAGGACGGCTGGTTGGTCCTCCTTCGGCTCCGTCGGCAACAGCGTTTACCTTCTCAACCCGGTGACCGAAGAGAAGTTAGCGGCAAGTTAGGATTTTCTTTTTATTTGTATTTCTAAAATAATTAGGTGAAAAATAAAAAATAGTTAAATTTTTTTTATTATTATTTTAATTGACACGTCACTTATTTAACGGTCAACTATAAGAGTTGACCGCCACATCAGCAAAAGTTAACGGAGACTAACGGCCAGTAGGGCTGTTAATGAACCAAGCCGCTCATGAACGGCTCGGTGTGCGATTCGAGAAAAACTCGTTTGATACTCGATTCGTTTTAATCGAGCCGGCTCGCGAACAAGCTCGTTAATTAAACGAGCCGAACTCGAGCCATACCATGTTCAGCTCGAAAGCTCGCGAACAAGCTCATTTAATGGTTTGGCATAAAAAAGAATTAGAATTCATGGATTTTATGTATTGAAATTGGAATAAATATTGTGTTTTACTTTGCTACAGAGTTAAATGTACTTTTGTGCGTAGTTCTAGGTCAATCTTGAGCTATCATGAACATTTTATGAGCTGAACTTGATTTTGGGCTCGTTAAGCTTATTTGACGAGCCGAGCTCGAGCTTTCATTTTCATAAACGAGCCGAGCTCGAGCTTGCATATTAAAGCTCGTGACGAACACGAGCCGAGCTCGAGCCTGGAAATATATTAACGAGCCGAGCCCGAACTATGGCAAAGCTCGACTCGACTCGGCTCATTAACAGCCCTAACGGCCAGTGACCAAACTTAAACTATTAACTTAATTTAAGTGACTACGGATGAAATAAATTAATTTTAGTGGCAAACGTGAAATTTTTACGTAATTCTAGTGACCAAACTTGCAATTTAGCCAAAAGCATAAATAAGGGGTGATGAGATGATGATCTCCTTTTTCTAAAAAAAATTGATGATTTCTGTAACACCTTAGGCGAATCCCACCGACAAAGTACGGGAGAGATTCATGGTTTATAATTAAGAAACCGGCCATAATTGACAAGACGCATTTTTGGGTGAAATAGAGGAGTTCTTGTAGAACTCTGAAGTTAAACATGTTCAATGTGGAGTACAACAAGGATGACTGACTTTATGGGAGGTCACCTTGAATTGCACCCTCAAGTCGAAAATCGTGAGGGTCAATGCCCAAATTAGACAATATCTTCGTCGGAAAAAGATTCGGGATGTTACAATCTCCCTGCCAGATCAAATGTTAGAGCTGAAGCTGGGCTGGTTAGTTAGGATAATTTCAGGGGTCAGGGTTAAACCCAGTCTTACAGACCAAAGTGTAAAACTAATCTGTCTCAACCTAATTGCTATTTTTGGCCATGTTTGACCTGTCAGGGTCGGGTCGAATTAGTATAGGGTAGTGGGTTGACCGAAGTTCTTTTACTTTTTTATTAGAATTTACTATAAACACATTAATTTCATTAAATTTAAGGACTTTGCTACGGTGACATGCATGTCACGGTGACATGCACTTTTCGGTCGACCTCATATAGGATCAGGTCGACCTAAACAGTTGTTTCAGTGTAAAAACAGTTTCATGGTGCCTACTTTGGAGATTCATATCTTACAATTGGCTAGATGGAAATTGGAGATTAAAGGCTTGTTTTGAAGCTGAAGTGTCCATCTACACATTAAAGTACTTGGGAGCTCAATAGAAAGTCCAGAAGACCTTTTTTGAATCTGACCAAAAGGCTATGCCAAAATTGGGAAACTGTCTGAAAATGGCTAAGTCTGGCAACGTGTTTGTCAAGCCTACTTTGGAGCTCAATTTGAGAATCATGGATGCGAGTCAAGTCCAGGGGCCTCTACCACGTTAAATTACGTATTTTTTTATACAAAGGCAAGGCATTGGATGAAAGATTCAATATCTTTAAGGCTTCAAACAAAAGGCTCGAAGTTGCTACGAAGGCTGTTTTTCTGGCAGCTTGCTTGTGCTCAAAGTCTGCCAGAAAAACAGCCTTCGTAGCAACTTCGACCCTTTTGTTTGAAGCCTTAAAGATATCCAATCTTTCATCCAAATCCTTGAATTTGTATAAAAACATACCTAATTTAACGTGGTAGAGGCTCCTGGACTCGACTCGCATTCATGTTTCTCGAATTGAGCTCAAAAATAGACTTCACAAACACGTTTCCAGACTTAGCCATTTCTAGGCAGTTTCCCAGTTTTGGCATAGCCTTTTGATGAGGTTCAAAAATGGTCTTCTGGACTTCCTATCGAGCTATCAATCACTTCAATATGTAGAGGGACACTCCAGCTTCAAAACAAGTCATTAGTCTTCAATTTCCATCTAGCCAATTGTATGATATGAATATCCAAAGTAAGCACCGTGAACTGTTTTTACACTGAAACCACAGATTAGGTCGACCGAATCCTAAATGAGGTCGACCGGATCCTATATGAGGTCGACCGAATTCTTAATGAGGTCGACCTAATCCTAGCTGAGGTCGACCGGAAAGTGTAAGTCACCGTGACATGCATGTCACCGTAGGCACACCCTAAATTTAAATGAATCTATAATAACACTTGTTACATGAAACCAGATGAACCACAATGTTTGACTGATTACTATTTTCACTAAAAAAGGTTAAGGAAAAAAAAACTTTTAACGGAAAACCTAGAAGATCCCATTGGAATTACTAATTTTAATTTTTGCTTCCTATTCTTCGTTTTTAACCTCTTTGTCAGTTTTACATGTTCACTGTGATTGCTAAACTCTTGAATTTAAAAAAAGTATGAACTTTGTTTAGAAAGTTTGAATGATTTTTTAGAACTTTTGGTGATTAATGATATAGATTTGGAAATGTTTGAGTAGGGCTAAATTCAATTATAAACTAATTTATTATACATGTCACTTATGTTATAGCGAATGAACGGTTCTATCAATGGTTAACTAACATTTCTATGACAATTAATCATTGAACCATAAACCACTATTTTTCATGTTGATTGTTTGGTCTGATAATGTTAACATAGCCAAAAATACATATTAGCTCTAGAAAATTGGAGTTATTTGCATAAATTAAAAGTACTCCAATATCTTTTGAAAAAAAGGTACTCCAATAAATTCAAATTGCATTTAAAAATCCAAATTACAATTAGAAAGTACATAATTGTTAAATCATCATCAACACATCTCTTGATCTCAATACGTTATTGTCCAATCATCATCAACCGAACTACTCATGATAGTTCTATCATCCAATGGTGAAACTTCTTCAACTCACCTAATTAACAACAAACCAAATAAATTAACAATCATTTAAAAATATTGAAAGTTAGTAACAAATTGTTTATCGAAATTATACCTTGTTGAAGTTCTTCAAAACTTTCTTCCATATCAATTGGTAGAGTACTCAGATTGAAGCTAATTCTGGCCACAAATAAAACTTTCAACTACCAAATGAGTCAATGAACTCTGAAATGCATCTAAAACACGTCCCTCAATACTAAAAGCATACTCCGATCCGATGCAACATTGGAGATAGAAATTGCTAGCACATTTGTAGCCATCAAACCCAATATTGGATATTCACTAGAGTGCTTCTTGCTTCATGCTAAAGTATCAAAGCTCGTATCATCACCATTCTCACTGTCCGCTTTCAAGTACTTCTAAAACTGCGAAATAAGAGCTTCTCTAACCCTATCTTCTATCATCTTTCTTGTGAACTTTTTTTCAAATAATCCTTAACAATTTCACATTCATTATTTTCGTCATTCGGTTGTACACTCCTCCCACTCCTCTATGAAATTTCACAAATAATTGCTCTCATTTACGAATAGTTCTTGAACATGCTCTCTAAGAAAGCACCTTACTAATTAAGCAACTCCTCCTCTGTTCAATCTTCTCCATTATCTATCCCATAAACACCCAGGATCGGGCCGGACCGAGTCGGGTAAGCGGATAGTTAGGCTAACTCCAATGGAGCCTCTATATTTGGGGGAAAGTTGGCTCCAATGGAGCCTCTATAAATGGAGGAATCTCTATATTTGGGGAGATCTCCAAAAGGATCCTCAAATTTGGGGGGTGGAAATGGGGGTTCCCCCAAATATGGAGACTCCCCAAAGCCCGCCACGTGGCGTTTCTTTTTCTTTTTAAGATTTTAAGGGTTAATTAGGGTTTAATTAGGAGATTAGTTAGGGGTTTAATTAGATCAATAATTTTCAAGTGTTGTGTGTAAACCCAAATTAGGTCAATCATTTTTTGTCAACAAAAATTTGGTCTCAAAATTAAAAGAAAATTCTACCTGAAAATTTGTATTTAAAAATGATGACGAACTATACAAAAATTAACATGAACAAATTATATTAAGACTTCGATAAGTACATTTTTAAGTAAATGGAAAACTTAAAAAATGGAGATCTCCAAATATAGAGGATGTAGCATTTGAGCAAAAAAAGGGAAAATGAGGATGAAAGATCCCCAAATTTGGGGGCTTGCATTGGAGTTGGTCTTAGGGTCAAACTTACAGCTCCGCCCATGCAACTATAGTTTCCAAACTAAGAGGACAAAAACTCCAATAAACCTTTATTTTTTTCCGTTGAATAATAAACCTTTAATTAACCATTATGAGGTCGTTGAAACTTAAGAACATTCACATCAACGATCTTTGGTCAATTGCAAGTATTACATAATACTCAATATGGAATTGCAAAAGAAATTACACCAATATAATGGACACTTGTAAATATGCAAACTTGCATTTGATGAAATTCAATATGCAAGCAACATAGGAAAATAAAAAACAAAAGCAAACATACTCAGGTTGGTGATAATTGAAATCCTTGGGGGTATGAGAGGGTATTAATTAATTATTAAGTGCGATGGCGACGATCCAGATCTGGGAATTTTATTTAGACAGCACCAAGAAAGGCACAGCCTACACATTCTCAATCGTTTCTGCCATTCGAGATTGAAGGCTATTTCCAAAAACGACAACAAAAGGGAAAAGAACTCCACAACGAAATATGAAAAAGCGTTGGTTCCATTTGGAATTTGATTCGAAAGTTTATATTTTTCTTTGTTTGGACAGCTTAATTAATCTCCGAATATTGGGCAAACTGGCAAAAATATGCAAGAAGCTTCTCGTGAGACTTATTCGTTGGAGCTTAATGTTAATGGCTATCTATTGAATTATTTTCCTTGATGTGTAAATTGTTATATAGGCCTGAATAGATCACCTTTTGTTAATAACCTCTACTATATTACAAAAGTTCACCGTGAATTATAGTTCACCGGAACTTCAAAGGAACGTTTTTCATCCAAATAGGCACATCTCAAGTCCCACCTGTTCGTTATTTGACATTTCTCACTTCACTTATACACTTTTTAATTTTTGGCTCATGTCGTCTCCCGATAATAAAGGTATTCGTTCTCTAATGTCCGATTAGTGACTAATTTAAGTGAGTGAGAGTCTCTTGATTGTCAACAAGCCACACGATTTTTCTAAAAGTATGAAGAAGTAGGTTGATGGTTGATGGTAATCGACTCAATTACCTATGAAATTATTCAACGTGTCGACTCCAAACAAGACCAACCCTCCTAGTATAGAGTAAAGAGGTCGTATGTACTTGGAGTTGATGAAAGAACAAGGTCTTTCAGAATTGAGTTCTACAATTTGAAACCTCTCTCCTCTCTCGAGATAAAAGTTTCCAAGAGGCTTCACCAAAGAAAAGGGGAAAAAATAAACCCTTGTAAGATATATGCATAACATTGACTGAACCCAATCCGACCATTACTTTTTGATCAAGAGACAAATTTAAATGTTGAGCAATCTCTTTACTCATCAATCACCATTGAAATAATTTATAATACTAATAAAAAATAATTCAATAAAAAAAGTTCGAAATCGACTAGTTTATTTTGACATAAAAAATTATATCATATAGACTAATTAAAACACTATTTTTTTTCAGGTTCTTAAGCGGTGGATCCAATTACCCCCATCAATTTTAACTTTTACGAAAAGATCATTAGCCACACGAATAATTAACCCTTTGGAAAAAGGAGGTAAGTTTTTTTAAACAGAGGTAAACAAAAAAATTGATGAAAAACACTACCGATCCCCAGTTACCATTTCCCTCTCCCTTCCCTGTCCAAATCGATCCTCTAAACACTACTGCTCCTCTATAGTCTATATATCACCCCAAAACGAATCAGACTCCCCAAAAAACACACAACCAATCAACCAAAACAAAAAAAAAAAGCTCTCCTCTGCCTCTTCTTCCTCCAGTCGGCTCCCCGGACCATCTCCGACCACCCAGATCCAGTTCCCAGAAATGGGTCACTCGGCCAACGGCAACGGCAGCGGCCCACTCAAGTTCCTCATCTACGGCCGCACCGGCTGGATCGGCGGCCTCCTGGGCAAAATCTGCGAGTCTCAGGGCATCGATTACACCTACGGCTCCGGCAGGCTCGAGAACCGCACCTCCCTCGAGAACGACATCGCCACCATCAAGCCCACCCACGTCTTCAATGCCGCCGGCGTCACCGGCCGCCCCAACGTCGACTGGTGCGAATCCCACAAGGTCGAGACCATCAGGACCAATGTGGTCGGCACTCTGACGCTTGCCGATGTCTGCCGGGACAAGGGCCTTGTCATGATTAATTACGCCACCGGCTGTATCTTCGAGTACGACGACAAGCACCCTCTTGGGTCGGGTATTGGGTTCAAGGAAGAGGACACTCCTAATTTCACCGGATCTTACTACTCTAAGACCAAAGCTATGGTAAATTCTCCCCCTCTTGAATGAGTATGCTCTGTTTCCAGTTAAGTTCGAGGATGGCGATTTGGTATTTGGGATTATGATTGATTGAATGGGTTAACGGAGATGTGGGTTTTGATTCCATGTGGAGGTTGGATCTAAAGGTTTCTCGTTGTGGATCTATTAGACATTGCCGATAGTCTCGATTTTGAGGTTTTAGTGCCTCTGTCGCTAGTGGTTCAATTCAATGCATATTTCTTGTGATAGCATTTAGCGGTTATGGATTAGCTAATCATTTTGCCTTCAATTCAAAGAATTAGCTATTTCTCGCTCTCATGCCTGAACCATCAATTTTATGTTGATTAACTCTTTGATCAAAGCTCATCCAGTAACCCAGATATAGAAAGATTATGATTTCCAATTATTCCCATTTTACTGTATCTTGATGTGTTTTCAAGATCTTTCCCATTTTGATTCGTTGGCTCTATTGGTGTGTTCTAACAGGTGGAAGATCTTCTCAAGAACTACGAGAACGTCTGCACATTGCGAGTTAGAATGCCGATCTCATCTGATCTAAACAACCCCCGTAACTTCATCACGAAGATCGCTAGGTACGAGAAGGTGGTGAACATTCCAAATTCAATGACCATCTTGGACGAACTTCTCCCCATCTCCATTGAGATGGCCAAGAGAAACCTCACCGGCATATGGAACTTCACCAACCCCGGAGTGGTGAGCCACAACGAGATCTTGGAAATGTACCGAGACTACATCAACCCCAACTTCACGTGGAAGAACTTCAACCTCGAGGAGCAGGCCAAGGTGATTGTCGCGCCCAGGAGCAACAACGAGATGGACGGTGCGAAGTTGAAGAAGGAATTCCCGGAATTGTTGTCGATTAAGGAGTCCCTTATCAAGTACGTGTTCAAGCCGAACCAGAAGACCACTGCTGCTTGATGATCTCTGTCTGTAAAAGCCCCTGTAGCGCTTGAATTGAAGGGACACACAGTCTGCTGTTTGCCCTTTTTACTTGTTTCTTTTTGCTGCCTGGTTTATGTGTTGCTGATTAATTCTCCCTCTGCTGGTTTGCATTATCTCTATCCAGGGGTGTAGAGAAACTTCTGTCGAAATGAAATTTGCATTGTTGTGGCATCTATTTATAACTGAAAAACGGATGTTGTATTTGTAAACTCTGTATGAATAAAAGAAAAGTCAGTCTGGAAATGTGAGTTATGAAGGCATGAATGAGAATCTATTTATTGGTAGCAGTGACTTCTTAGGTTGAAACTGAATCTCAAATTCATTCATTCATTCATCCATCTGTTTCTTTTTCCTTTTTAGGGCTGTGGTTGTGATAGAAACCTAAAATTAGGTTCTATCGGATTTAGGGATTAGTGCGAGGGATGGGATCACCAAGGTGGTGATTAGGGTTGATTTTGGGGAAAAGGGGAATTGGAATTGAAGGGAGGTGGGGAAAGGAAGCTGCTGGCGCAGCAGTGAGGGGAGGAAGAAGAAGATGGCTGCTCGGCAGCCTTTGGGAAAGAGGGAGAGGAGTCGGCAGAGGGAATTAGGGGGAGAGAGAGAGTAGTAGGATTTAGGTTTAATTCTTGCTTAATGAATAATTCCCACTTACAAGTAGTTTATATAAAAGAATAGAAATTCTCTATCGCTACCCAAATTATCAAATAACCCCAATAAATCCTCAAAGAACAATAAACCGACAAAAGTAATCCGAATAAACAAAACTAGGAAATTGCGGGTTTCTATCATCCCCGCCTCCTTGAAAACAACCTTGTCATCAAGGTTGACTGGAACTCACTGCTTCTCGTCCTCGGCCTCCCTAGCCTCGTCCTCTGCTTCATCTTCCCAACGTCCCACCAACATCATCACATCAGGCCTCGCACACTGGTGACCGAAAGTGAACCGCTCATTGCAGTTGAAGCACTTGCCCTCTCGGCGCTTTTGTTCAATCTCTGCGGGTGTCAGCCTGACGAAGCCCTTTGGCGGAGCACGAGGACCTGGTCTTGGCCCTGTCGCCGCCGATGGTGGAGGCGGATCTCCTCCTGCAGCTCCTGTCCTTGCTCCTGCGACCGTGCTACCACCCCCACTGCCCCCTGGGTTGTTGCTCCCTCCTCCGCTCGGCCTCGGGTAACGGCCGATGACGCTCCTCCAGCTTGCCAGTTCTTCCTCCTTGTGCCCTGCATAACGGAAAGCAGTCCTTACCGAGTCGGGTTCAAACACCCGGACAGCTGCCGCGATCTCCGGCTTTAGGCCAGCCAACAATAGGCCCACCAGTGTCTCTTCCGGAACCCCCTTGCACTGATTCCCCAGCTTGAGAAACTCTGATCGATACTCCGCCACTGTCCCCGTCTGCCTCAACTTAGCTAGCTGCTCGGGGGCCCATCCCTCAGATTTGCCGAACTGGTAGCGGAGTTCCTCTTGGAACATTGGCCACGTGATCAAAGTCCCCGTAGCAGCGTACGACCTCTCCAACCACTCCCACCAATGCAGCGCGTCTCCTTCCAGATAGAAAGACGCCAAATGCGCCTTTCGCTCCTCCCGAGTCAGGTGGTTCTTGAACCATCTATCAGCTGCTTACAACCACAACCCTGCATCCTCTTGCCCATTGAATTTTGGGAATTCAATGGTTGGAGGTTTAGCTCTGAAAACCAAGTCATCATCCACATCATTAAAGCGGTCATACACAGCATACCTTCCCCCATGCAAATTTCTCGGCCCTCGATCCCTGAATTCCATGCCCTCCTCGCCCCGGGGTGGACCTTCATACCAGCCCCTCGAGTCAGGGGTGACTAGCCCTGGTCCGCCTGGTCCTCTACGCGTCGGTTGAAAGGCTCCTGCCTCACTGAACGAACCGCGCTCGCCCCCAGGGAACTCCGGATGATGCCTGCTCTGCGGTTGGTGACCCCTGCCCGGTTCGGAACCGGTTGGACCGGTTCGATTCGGTCCGTACCGGTTTGACCGGTTTGGTTTGGACCGGTTGGGCCTGTTCGGTTCGGACCGGTTGGACCGCTTCTGGTCCACCCGCCCCGCCCAGCCTGATGTGACCCGAACCCGCACTGGTCGATCGCCCACCTTGGGTCTGGCCCGTCTGTCCTTTGGTTGGGTTCGGCCCACATCTCTGGCCGACCAGCCAAGCTCAGCTCCTCTTCTTCTGGGCTCAACCATCCTAGCCCGTTAGGGCCCCAGGCCCGACTTCCCTCTTCTTCCTGAGCCCACATAGTCATAACCCGACATTTTGGCCTTGCCCTTCCGGGCCGCCCTTTCTTGGTCCGTTGGGGTTGGGAGTAGGCCCGCCTCCTTGTTGGGCCCCAGGTGCACTTGGCCCGCACGCACGATCTCCCGCCCTAGCCCGATGGCCGAGGCAGCCGACCCGCCCGCTCCTGGAACCGCCGCCGCCTTCGCGGCCCTTACCGCTGCCGGTTGAGTGGCCGCCGCCGCCGTTTCTCCCGCCACCCCGGCCGCGATCAGCCCTCCTCCTTCCTCCTGCTCGAGATCGATCAGGGTCTCGATTCTCGGCAGTTTGCCTTGTCTCTCCTCTGCATCCCGCGTCAGTTTGCTTACGGCTCGCCGGATTTCATCCATCTCTTCGCGACGTCGCTCCTCCGCTATCTCCCGCTCCACCATCAGTCTCTTCACAGTAATCTGGAGTTCGCCCACGGCGATCTGGATTTCCTCCAGTCCGGTCTCGTCTACCACCCTGACCGTCTCCCCTGCCCTAGCAGCCGCCGTAGCCGCCGCAGCAGCCGCCGGGCCGCCTTCATCACCGCTGCCTCGGGCCGTCACCGCGGTGGTCGAGGTCTCCTTCTCCCGGGCCGCCTCCTCGGCGGCTTTCTCCGCAGCCTTCTGAGATTTCGTCACCGCCATAGCGCGATCCTGTTCTTGGTTGATTTGCCTTGATCAGAACCTGGCTCTGATACCAGATGATAGAAACCTAAAATTAGGTTCTATCGGATTTAGGGATTAGTGCGAGGGATGGGATCACCAAGGTGGTGATTAGGGTTGATTTTGGGGAAAAGGGGAATTGGGAATTGGAATTGAAGGGAGGTGGGGAAAGGAAGCTGCTGGCGCAGCAGTGAGGGGAGGAAGAAGAAGATGGCTGCTCGGCAGCCTTTGGGAAAGAGGGAGAGGAGTCGGCAGAGGGAATTAGGGTAGAGAGAGAGTAGTAGGATTTAGGTTTAATTCTTGCTTAATGAATAATTCCCACTTACAAGTAGTTTATATAAAAGAATAGAAATTCTCTATCGCTACCCAAATTATCAAATAACCCCAATAAATCCTCAAAGAACAATAAACCGACAAAAATAATCCGAATAAACAAAACTAGGAAATTGCGGGTTTCTATCAGGTTGGTATAACATCCATTTCACATTCATACTCTCTGGAAGGCTCAAAGAGAGCATTTTTCACTGGTATTGTTTGTGACCAGGAATCTGCTTTTCCTTCTCGGGCATGGAGTGATCAGTGAAGTAGCATATTTGCTCTACCTAAACAATGAGTCACAAAGCAACCCACCAACCCGCTCGCCAGAACCTCCATTTGTGAAAACCTCGATACAATCAGCCCTTTCTCCCTCAAGCTAAAAAAAGTTCATTCCAAGATGGATCGTTCTTTGGTTTGATTATTTATAGTGAAGTTATTTTTCATTTTTGCAGTGTTTTTCTGTGGCGATAAGGATCCAGTTTAGGAAGCAGGGACGAAAGCACAAAGAGGTTGGCAATCAAGACTAAGCGATTCGAAAATAAGTATTTAAACAAAGCTGAGATACAGATTACAAAATCCGTTGTAGTCTAGTTGGTCAGGATATTCGGCTCTCACCCGAAAGACCCGGGTTCAAATCCCGGCAACGGAATCCATTATTTTTCTTGTTGCTGCTCTGCTCTTTCATGTCTGCATTCTTTACTTTACCTTGATTCTCCAACAACAACAATTACAACACGGTCGAAAACACAGAGCATACCACAAACATTACATGGTCACATACTGTTACAACCCTAACCCAACCAAACGTGATTTGCTTATCAAACTAGCAGCAAAATCCCCAACGTTGGAACCAGAGCTTCCACCTTCACCCGCCGCTTCCCTGATCACATTCTTCCACTTCTCACTATTCCTCCTAATCTCTTCCCCACTCTCCCCCTCCATCACTTCCCTCAAACACCTCTCGATCTCCTCCCTTCCGACCACCGCCCCGCTCTCACCACCGCCACCTTCGACCACTCTCACGCCAACTCTCCACACGTCTTTTACGTACTTGGCATTGGTCGGCTGGTCCGACCACTGCGGCACCGCCACCATGGGGACACCCAAGCTCAGCCCCTCCAGCGTCGAATTCCACCCGCAGTGCGTCACGAAACACCCCACGGCCTCGCTCGCCAGAACCTCCAGCTGCGAGCACCACCGCACTATGAGCCCTCTCTCTGCCGCCGCGGCCGCGGAGAGTTCGGATTCCTTGGGGAGCTTGGACTCTTCGGATTGCCTCACCACCCAGAGGAAGTAGTGGTTGCTATTTCTCAGCCCCCAAAAGAGCTCCTCCATTTGGTCTGCGGCCAGGCCCGCTATGCTGCCGAAAGAGACGTAGACGACGGAATGTTTCGGCTTGGTTTCAAGCCAATTTGCGCAAGTGGATTCGTTGAAGGGCTTGAAGATGCTCAGTCCGTGTAAGTCTGTGTCGTCGTTGTCGTGCTGGTTGTTTAAGTACGGTAATGGTATGGTCGGTCCGACGGTCGTGAAGGGCAGGAAGTTTGAAAGCCAGCTTAATTCCTGGACAAAGGTCATAATTGAAATCAATTAAATCCATTGTGTCCACACGGCGGATGCATTTTGTAAGATAAACCGAGCGTATTAGAAGTTAGCAAGGTGGGAGACTGCGTCATTCCGTGTCTGTTCAGGTGTTAGGTAGCGATAAAACGCTTTGTTTGAGCTCTAGGTAGGGATTGAAGTCGGTCGGTTTAATCGAAAAACGAAAACCCGGTTATCGATTAAACTGAGCCACCCCTATAGCTGTTGACCACCGACCGTGAGAGTGGTCACGGTTAGCCGGCCAACTGACCGGTCGGTTTCAGTTTTAGGCTCGGTTAGCCGGCCAACCGAAAAACTACATTTTCTACAAAAAAAAACAAAAAACAAAAAAAAACAAAAACTCACTCCTAACCCCTCTCACTTCTCGATTCTTCTTCTGTTTGCTTCTCGTTCTATCTCTTCTCTCGCTTCTCTGTTCTCGTAGTCTCCTCTGAGACGAGAAGGAAGAGGACTCTTCCCCTGACACACGAGCACCCAAAATAAAATCTCTCCCCTCGAATCCTTCTACCTCTTTAGCTCCCGTTCGTCCCTATCCTGAGAAAATTCTATTTCTCCGACGCTCTCATCTTTCATAGACGAAACCGGGCTCGGGACGCCGGCGATGGCCTCCGCCGCGGTGAGTGAAATCCCTCAAGGCTTCAATTTTTCTACAAATTGATTCTTGTTTGATGCATGTTGAGGATTCGCGTTTTAATGATGATTTTTGGGTTATTGGTTATGAAGGGAGATGAAGTAGAGGGCGACCGGAGGGGGGAAGAAGTCTCACCGTTACCAATCACGAAGGAAACTGACTCGTTTTCAACTAGACCGAATACAGCTTCGAATTAGGTAGGATTTTGGATTGCATGCTGGGTTTTTCGATTTGCTTTAGGTGATTTTTTTTATTCGACTATTTTTCTTTTGTTTTCTTGTGGCTCTTGAGGATTGATTTTAGATGAAGGTAAAAGAAGCAGGGAGGAGACCGCCGCTACCGCCAGAGCGTGTGCCGCCGCCGCCGAGGAAGGAGAAGGAGGTCGACTCGGCGTTAGGGTTGGAGAGGAGAGGGGTCGTTTTGGTCTTTGGGGTGGGTTGGAGCGGGGTCGTTTTGGGGCTGGGGGAAGGGGTCGTTTTGAGTCAAGGGGGGTGGTCGGTTAGCCGGTTAACCGCCGGTTACTGACCGCGGTTAATCGGCTAGCCGAGCCTCTCCCCCGGCAACCGACCGACACCAATACAGAGCGATTTTCGGTTAACCGAAAACAGGTCGGTTTGATCGTAACCGACCGGTTAACTGCTAACCGAAAACCGTTCTGCAAGCCCTAGCTCTAGGCATATAATTAGGTGTTTATAATGCCTATGTGAAAATAGGCACAATTTAGTTGACGTGAAGTGTGAATAATTGAATTCACGTTTATAGATTAATGATTAAGAAAGTTGTAGTTAATATTTCTGAAATGACTTCTTGAATTCTTCCCCAGCTTGATCACCCGATCCTCTACCCTACACATAATCGTAGATCTACAAAAACATAACATACTTTGCTTTTTGTTGAGTGTTAACTAAGTAATTAATCATTTAAAATTAAACTAAAGTATTAAAAAAATTTATAAAATTATTATTTTAACTTAAATCATTATTTTAACTTAAAAAGCCTAAGCACCATCAAAATGCCGTTTAGGCGCGATAGACAGAGTTTCCTTCTTTAACCTTGAAATTTAGAAATTACCTCTTGTTCCACTTCCAGAACAGAGTTGCAGAGAACCCAATCGGCCTGCTCCGCGTTAGAGAACTGGCCCAAAATGAGCCCAAAAGGGTCAGGGTCCGGCCCACAGTCGTGCAGCAAAGTCGGCAAGTCCCGCCGCTCCAACGCCGGCAATCCGGGTATCACCCCAAAATTGTAACCAGTCGTTTCCCCAACCGGCACCTTTCCCTCACGAACCCCGTAATAAATGGCGTCCACCGCACACGACTGCGTGAAGAAGTCGGCAGTCAGGATCCCGAATTCCTTTGCCACGTCCAGGCACCAGGGGATGATGGAATCGTAGATAATGCAGTGTACGGACTCCCCTGAATCGGCCATCCTCTGAACCAGTCGAGCCAGAGCTTTGGAACCGATTTCCCGGAATGTGCGCACGTAGGCGTCGAACCTCTGGGCCCCGACCCCAGTCGGGCAGCCTTCTTCGTCGTGGCCGTCGGCGATCGTTTCGAGGCCGATTTCGAGGGCGGAGATTCGGGTCCGGTCTCGGGCGGAGATGGATTTGGAGATGAAAGGGGTGAGGAGGAGAGTGACCCGGATTCCTTTGGGGATTAGGCGCTTGGAGAATTCGAGGATCGGGTTGATGTGGCCTTGGGTTGGAAACGGAACCGCCAAGCAGTGTGGCATAGGCGTTGGCTCCGAGGGTTGACCGTGGTTCGCCATGTCTACTTTCTTCTTCTTCTTCTTCTTGAGCTCTCTGCTGCTAAGTTGCTGCAAATCTGGGAGGGGAGTGATTAAGCTGGATGGTTGATAAAATATACCAATTCATTCTATTAGGTACTTGTGGACAAATTACGATTTTCATCCTACAAATATTCACGTTTGTGAACACATTTTTTTAATCTTTGGTTCGGACAAATTCCAGAGCGGAGATCGGAGTTTGATGGCAACATGCATTAGCAATTCCAAAAATATACAATCGTGCAATTATTATAAAAAAGATACTGTCGGCGTCACTTTGACTTGGTATTATTTTTTTGATAGAAACAGATGATAATATTTTTATTTTATTTTATCAAACAGATGATAATAATTGATTACTGAAGGGTCATCTGATCTCCCACCTAACCATGCAGGCCCACAGCCAGTAAGCCCACTACCGAGCCCAAACTCATGCGCCGTTGTGTATCCAAGATTGGGGTCACTATCAAGTCGAAGCTACCCGAATAGAGCTATCATAAACCCTCGCATTTATATCCCAATTCACAAGTATTCACAACAACCACTTTCACTAATAGTTAGGGGTGGGCAAAGAGGAATGAATATCAGGGAACAATTCAAAAGAATTGATTCCCCCGATTTCTGAACAGAAGAAGAACAAAACTTGGAATGACGTTGTATCATGCACGACTTGAAGAACGGACTGGAACGACAGCGTACCACGACAAGTTGAAGAAAGGGATGGCACGACAACGTCTCAAGACCATTTTGTCAAATTTCGTTTTAACTCCAAATGTTGTGTTTTTAGACACTTTTCCATTTATGTCTTGTACTTGCTTCTGGTGCAAGGTTGTCTTGTTTTACAACTTTGATACAACTATATAAGCTGCCAAAACTAATGAGAACAACAAGTTTTCAGTTCTCACAATCACAAATTGTTGTTATGGTACAAGAGCCTGGGGCAAAGAGGAATGAATATTTGGAGATACTCATATCCGTTTTGTTTTTTAGGGTTACGGGTATTCAAATATCCAAAAAAAATTATTTTACGAAATGAGATTTGAAATCAAGAATCGCTACTTTGAGTTCTCGCGGCTGCGGGTTACTCGTTAATACCCATTTGGATATTACGGGTACCCATTATATCTATGAATCCATGCCAATCTACGGAACAAGGATGAGGAGTTGAGGTTGTGGGGCATTTCTAAAGCCAACAATAGGGGGAAAAAATCCCAAAGTACACATGTTCTTAAAAAAAATTCCCAAAATACATAAGTTATAAAAAAATTTCCCAAAATACACATGTTTGGCATTCACCGTTTTTGACAAACGCAGTGAATATAATCACCGTGTTTGAAAAACGCGGTGAATAATTCACCGTTTTAAAAAAAAACGGTGACGTATTCACCGTCTTCATTTAAAACGGCGAAGAACCAGCGAGGCAATCACCGTTTTAGAGGGAAACGGTGAATCAATCACCGTTTTAATAAAAAGCGGTGACATTTAAACTGCTGTGATTGGCAACGATGAAGCGAAGCGGATCGCTGACGTGGACAAACGCGGTGTATTCACCGCGTTAAACAAACACGGTGAATACTCCATGTTTGTTTGTGTCAGCGATCCGCGTCGCTGCCGCATTCACCGTCGCCGTCGGATGCGGTGAGGCGCGGATCGTGGTTTTCTTCCCAGATCCGACGCCTCACGCTAAGCCACGTCACTCGATCCGCGCCCATTCACCGTCCTCGAGAAACGCGGTCACTTCACCGTTTCTGACTGACGCGGTGAATGCTCCCCAATTTCATTCGGCAGATCCCTTCCCCCAACTATAAATAGACCCTTCCCCACCACTTACAACTCACACCACAACCATTTCACTTCTTTCTCCCTCAATTTATCCGCTCTAGTCTCGTTCTAAGTATGCTCTGTGGTTGCGGATAAATCCGATCTTCCACATCAGAAAAAATTACTAGAGTTTGACCCTAAAGCCCCCGTCCCGCTAAGGTCCCGTCCCTTACAAACCTGAACCCGTTGAACCTCTGTCCGGCTTCTGCCATAAAATGGACGAAGAGGCTCTTCGTGTAGATTTTTTTTAGTGTTCTTATTTTTAATCGTAAAAATTTGATTTTGTGATTTTTTTATCAAAACAATCTCTGATTTGATTACTTTTTTATAGATGGGTGCCGAGATATACGATCCTCGCTTATGAGCCAAGAGATATGAGACTCTTAACCGATCAAGAAGCTCATCGCTCCCGTGCTATTTGGGATAACAATCCGGTAATTTTATGATTTATTTGCTTTATTTTATTATTTTCTAAGATTTTATTTTGCTTTATTTAAACTAACAAATTGATGTTTTTCCTATTTTTTTTTGAAGGAATCACTTATTCCCGTCGTTCATAAAAGGACCACAAACTTGCCCCCTTGGCATCCACGGTTGGCGCCCTATATAGAGAGGACCGGGTTGGGTATGTTACGCCATTTCATGCGGATCAAAATCGACAACGATCTGCTTACGGCAATGGCGGAGCGATGGCGTCCCGAAACCCATACGTTCCACCTTCCGGAGGGGGAAATGACGATCACCTTCAAAGACGTGGCGATCCTCACCGGGCTGCCGATTACTGGAGATGCCATCATTGATGTTTCTACCAAACCCGAAGGAGGTTGGGGGCCACTCATCTTGCTGAGTTGGGATTCGACATGCCGACCACCACACCAATTCAAGGACGGGGCCATCCACCGTTGAATGCGGGACAAGTGTCAGTCCCATGGCTGGTAGCTCACATCCAGAATGAGGTGCAAATCGATGACGAGACTCCGGAAGATCAAGTGGAGCGCTATGCACGCATCTACCTCATTGGTCTGGTGGGTGGATTTCTGTTTCCCGACAAGTCAAACCGGTGGATTCAAGGCATATGGTTGCCATTACTCACTGGTGACTGGGACGCAATCGGGGAAAAGAGCTGGGGATCGGCCGTGTTAGCTGGCATATACCGGGAGCTATGCACTTGATCGAAGGTGGGAGCAAAACAAGCTGGTGTTGCGATGTTCATCCTACAGCTGTGGGTATGGGAGCACCTCAAGACCCACGTCCATACCGGAGAGCCGATGATGAGCTAAACTTTCTGCAATATCCCCCTTACGGTGTCAAGTAAGTTTATTCCGTACTTAGCTTAATTTAAAATTATTACATGATTAGCTAGATTTCAATTGAATTTATTCCGTACTTAGCTTAATTTAAAATTATTCCATGATTAGCTAGATTTCAATTGAATTTATTCCGTACTTAGCCTAATTTAAAATTATACCATGCTTAGCTAGATTTAAATTGAATTTATTCCATATACCTCTGCAAGCCGCATCCTGTTATCGCTTAGGAACTCCAACATCATCGTAACCGCGTCATCATCGTTTATGACAACTTCTTGGTACACAACCCCGCCAACACTCATGTCTGGATACCGGTAACTAATTTTGCCAAGTCTCGTCTGTCCGCTCGTACAAACCCTGTTTGCACAAATATCACGGAGTTCTTGAAAATTGAATCGCGACTCAATTTTCAGCATAGTGGATTCACCGTTCTCATAATCAATCCCTATGTCAGAGTTTGTCACCCTTCCATTCCACCGAATAATAAGCCGAAACTTCTTGAATTTACCCATATCTACAATTTACAACAAGTGTAACTATTAGTTTAAAGACAGTAAAATTAACCAAAACCATATTGAACGACTAATATTACTCCATCTCATAACTAACGTAACATAAATTCAACTAACAACAACATAAATTAAAAAATTAAGTACTACAATTGCTACGATAAGTAATTCATAATAACGTAACAATATAACTACTAAAAACCATATTGTGCGACCAATATTACTCAATCTCATAACTAACGTAACATAAATTCAACTAACTAACAACAGCATAAATTCAAAAATTAAGTACTACAATTGCTACGATAAGTAATTCATAATAACATAACAATATAACTACTAAAAACCATTTTGTAAGACTAATATTACTCCATCTCATAACTAACGTAACATAAATTCAACTAACTAACAACATCATAAATTCAAAAATTAAGTACTACAATTGCTACGATAAGTAATTCATAATAACATAACAATATAACTACTAAAAACATCATTACGCTATAATACGAAAATTAAATCATACTATAACTACTAAAAACCCATCATTAACCTATAATACGGAAAATAAATCATACCGAAAATTCCCCGCCTGTGTATTATGCTCGGTTTTGGTTGCTGAAATTTGAAGAGGGGGGAGTGGTTGTGTTTCTGTAAGTGCTGGTGGGCTGGTATTTATACTAAAATCTGCCTAATGTTCACCGTTTTGGTCAAACACGGTGAAAACCATCACCGCGTTTGTCTCAAACGGTGAACATTAGGTAGCTCATACCTAATTTTCACCTAACAGGGGTTGAAAACGTGCCTAATACTCACCGTTTTAACCTAAAACGGTGAAGTATTCACCGTTCTTGTAAAACGCGGTGATAGCCTTCACTGCGTTTGTTAAAAACGGTGAATACCAAACATGTGTAGTTTTGGAAAAAAAATTTATAACTTATGTATTTTGGGAATTAATTTAAAGAACATGTGTACTTTGGGATTTTTTCCACAATAGGGACTACTTGAACATGATGGGCTCTTTGGTGACACTGGGGGAGTATTTGCTAGAGGAATGGGATTCCGCTTGTGAAGTCCCCAACAATTGGGCCATTATTGCTGTTGGTACGTGGAGAAGGAAAGGAACATGGAGAAAGGTTTCGAGGTCATCAGTGAAGCTTTAGCTATTCGTGCGAATAACATTTGGTGGAGACCAAGGTTGTCAACCGCGGGAAGGTTTCGAGGTTATCAGTGAAGCTTTAGCTATTCGTGCGAATAACATTTGGTGGAGATCAAGGTTATCAATCCGCGGGTCGACCCGAAGGTTGACCCACTTTGACCCTAACCCGGTGAGAAAAACGGGTCGCACGTACCCGCTGGGTCGACCGCTATAAGGTACCGGGTTGGAGGTCAAATTGTGCCATTTTTTCTGTGTTTTGCCAAATGAGCCTATTTTCCGATTTTTCTTTTCGCCTAACTCAATCTTTGGAATCCTAAGTTGAACATTTGAATATTAATGTTATATAAGTGTGTGTGAATTTTCACTATATGTTGAATCTAAGTACGAAATGTTATTTTGGTGTAATATTATATGTTATAACTCATATGTTAGATGAGATTTGATATAATTTATCACGATAAGTACAATATAATGACGCTTTCCATATTTCCGGGCTAAATCGGACTAAAACGGGTGACCTATTAACCCTTAACCCACTAGCTCAACCGGGTCCGGGTCAACCCGCGGGTTGACAACCTTGGTGGAGACCGAAACCTGGACTGATGTCGAGGATGTTGAGGTGGGCTGGCGAAAATGCAGGCGCGGAAGATTTGCTAGGTCTAGTGGCGGATTCGGGGTGGCCACCCCGGTCACGGCCCAGTCCTCCTCTGGATTCGGAGCTTGTATAGTTTTTATGAATTTTTCGATTTAGGTATTTGGCCCAGTGTTATTTTATAATAAGATTGTGTGTACTTAGAAAAATGGTTGAGATGAACACATTCATATCACTATTTAGCCTACAAATTCTAGCCCCAAAGACTTTCGTCTAAAAAAAACAATGAAAACTAAAATTCTTAAAATCTAAAAGTCTAAAGCGTAAAGACTAAAAGAAATATAAGGTTTGTTCCATTGGAAAAATTACTAAAGCAGTTGGTGGATATAGAGATGGACACACAATGCAAATCGATTAGTCGATTGATTTGTCTAGTATTGACGCTGCCCGTTTCAACGACTACTATAGAGATAACTTTTTCAACAATGAAACATGTAAAAACTGATTTGCGCAACAAATGAGCGATGAATTTCTTGCCGATTGTTTAACTATTTTAATTGAAACAGAGTATGTCATTGGTATGAACGTAGACTCCATTATTGATGCATTCGCTAAATTAAAAGACCATCGTGTACAATTGACATTGTAAAAAAACCTATGATCATTATTTTTAATGAAATGCGGCCCAAGTTGGGATAAGGGTGGCGTTGGAACATCAAAGACGTGATCCTACAACAATTCGTACAAAAGATTCATTAGAATCGCCTATGAGGATTATCAACACCAAGTATAATTCATGGAAGCAAGCTTTGCAAAGGGCAGAAAGGAATCAACTGACAGACAAATCAAACTAATGCTGCAGATCAATATATAAGAAAGAGAATGAGAACAAAATTTTCGGGCATGAGCATTATTGGAGGATTCTTCAAAATTGTTTGATATGGAAATGAAATTGGAGCCAAGTGGACGAGGAAGTGATGTTTGTCGTTTATTCATGTACATTTTATTTTATTTCTTGTGTTATGTGTGAGATTTAGTGCTTACCAATGTACGCACATTTGATGGGAAGAGTGATTCTCCTCATTTATCAGGTTTCATTTTTTTCAATGTACACTTTAATTTTTTCTTTGAAAAAATTATCTCCGAATTTTTGAAAAAGATTAATACTATACCATAGCAAAACCTTTTGTTTTAAACAAAATAATAGCCAGAGCTTTTTTAAAACGATTGAATAGCCAAATTACCAACTTTCTTTCTAGTAAGCTTTTAGTTGACATTAAGATGAGCTTCAAACCATCTCCAATGTTAAAAACGCCAAATTTTGAAGTTAAATTTGATATTCTAATTCCATCGCAAGTGATTTTGCTCCAACGATTTTTTTTTCCGTTGAATTCCAACGATGCTTTCTAGAATACCAAATTTAATTAGATAATTTATTATTATTATTATATTGATAGTAATAATTAATTTTCAGTATTCTTATATTAGATAAAATCTTTCATTTGGAATTGGACTAGGCTTTGCATGCTACCGAATGATGATGTGCACAGCGGATCCTTTGGGCTTGTTTTTGGAGCCATTTCGTACATATTTCGTTGTTTGGGTATAAGAAAATGTCGACCCGTATTCTTCTGTATCGATTTGGCTGGGCCGTGATAGTGAATTTGATAACCAATCCATTTTTTGGAAGTTAACAACAAAATTAAGATTATTCATTGAACATGGAGCCGTCTTAGCTCAGCCGGTAGAGCGCGTGGCTTTTAACCACGTGGTCGTGGGTACGATTCCCACAGACGGCGGCTTCTTCAAAATTCATTTTTATCGAAAATGGCTTAATTGCAAGTTTGGTCACTCGAATTGCTACAAAATTTCACGTTTGCCACTCAAATTAAATTATTCCATTTATAGTCACTTAAATTAGGTTAACAGTCCAAGTTTGGTCACTGGCCGTTAGTCTCCGTTAACTTTTGCTGATGTGGCGGTCAACTCTTATAGTTGACCGTTAAATGCATGATGTGGCAATTAAAAATTCCACCTCAACTATTAAAAAATAATAAAAATAGGTGAGATGAACCACCATTGCATTAGGGCGCTGAACCCTAAATCCCACCCAGCACACCGCCCGTCCCATGCTCCTGCCTCTCATGAATCACCCGATCCTCCCCGATCCCGCCGGTGGTGCTGCTCTGCTCGTGCTGCTGCCCGCCCATCCCCTTATAAATGAATTGAGAGAAGAAGGTTGTGGTTAGGGGCAGTGGCGGAGCCAGGAAATTGGCCAAGGGGTGTCTTTATCATATCATAAAAAATCACCTATACAATAGAAAAGTCAACTTTAAATTAAACAAAAAGTCAACAACGCAATACTCTAAATTCACACAATTACATTAAAATAGTTTCACGTACACCGGTTACAACGTCAAACAAATAAGTTCAGTACATACAAATCAAGACTTCCATTCATCAAATATTACAAATTAGAACTCAGAAGTACCTTGGAATTGATTTTGTGAAACAAACAAGTGAACTTCAATTGGTACTTCTTCACTTTCAACTTTGTTTAAACAAAAGACAAGAAATTTCTCTGTTGTAGAGCTACAAAAAAAATGAGCGAGTTTAAACAAAAGACAACAATTTATTACTATAAATAAAGACGAAAGTGCATTACATAACAAAACTCACTAGATCGAAATGATAAGAAATTCTTCCTGCAACTGAATGATCATTGGTTCGAATTTGTATATACCCCTACTCGAAAAAAAATTCTCCAAACCCAAGGGGGGTGCAAAGCACACCCTCCTCTCCAAGTGGCTCCGCCACTGGTTAGGGGAAAGGTATATCCGTATATACCTCAGCGCGGCCTTCGGCTTGGCCAGCTCTGTAGTAATGCTCCTGTGGCTGATTCGACGACATTTCTCCTGCTCTCTGTCTGTGTGTATACGAAACTCTGGACTGATACCGCACCAGCTAATATGTATAGGTTTCTTTTCTTTTCTCCTATTTCACTCTTACGAAGTCTTCGTTTTGTGGGTTTCGAATGGCGGGGGAAGTGAAATGCGCTTCGACTACCGCCACTGGCAGGGAGTGAAATGCGCCCAGGGCAGAGTCGTCGTTTTCGTCCTACAGGGCTTCGGCCTCCGGCCCGATCCCTGACTTGTCCCCGCTCGTCAATTTGAAGTCTCTTCCTCAACGGGAATTCCTTCTCGGGGATTTTCCCTCCTTCCATTCTCCTCCTCCGATCCACCGCCTCACCGTCCTCGATCTCTCCCGCAACAACCTGACCGGTCTGGTCCCTGTTGGATTGTCCAGGTTGGACCGGCTCAACCCCCTCCGCCTGGAGTGGAATCGCTTCACCGGAACCGTCCCGCCTCTCAACCAGTCGTTCCTCGTGAGCTTCAACATCTCCGGGAACAATCTCACCGGCCAAATATACTTCACCGCGACGCTCTCCCGCTTCGACTCGACGGCGGTTTTGCTCAACGCGCCGGATCTCTGCGACGAGATTATCAATAAGGCCTGCCCCTCCTCCAACCGCCCTCCATTCTTCGATCAGTCGTCGCTGGGGAACGCCACCTCTCCGACGGTGGCTTCTTCTTCTGCCCCGCTCAACCAGAGTGCGGAAGCGCAGTCCGGACCGCGGTAAACGTCGGAATGTAACCGCCGTAGTTGAGGTGGAATTTTTAATTTTTTAATTTTTTAATTTTTTAAATTTTTAATTGCCACGTCATGCATTTAACGGTCAACTATAAGAGTTGACCGCCACATCAGCAAAAGTTAACGGAGACTAACGGTCAGTGACCAAACTTGGATTGTTAACCTAATTTAAGTGACTATAAATGGAATAATTTAATTTGAGTGGCAAACGTGAAATTTTGTAACAATTCGAGTGACCAAACTTACAATTAAGCCTATCGAAAATGCTGTTGTGGGATCATTTGGTAAGGACGTTGCCTAACCTATCTTGGCATATTATAGCTGGTACATTTTCCTAAAATATATTGGAGATTAGTGTGATTAATTAGGCCAAAAATTTGCCAGTAATTTTTGTTGCGGAACAGAATCCATTTTAAAGTTAGTTCAGATTTTTACATGGATTGCACAGGTTTTTTTTTTTTTTTTTACCATGATATAAAGATCATCAAAATCAAATAGACATTATCATATAACATCGAGTAACAACAAACTTAATTAGTAACGCATTAACACAAGCTCAAGGCAAACTGCAAAATGAACTCGATTGACCTTATTATTGCTCAACTCATCAATCTACTTGACTTCTACACTCTCTTAAGTCTAATAGTTTAGCAAAACAAGGGATGATAATTTCACCCTCTATAAATTGAAAATCTCAAAATTTCGTTTGAGAAGTATATAAGAAATAGAAATTTAACCAACATATTCTCAATAACTCAAGTTATTGGGATTAAGAGATTGTTGGTCAAACACCCAATTAGCTAGCTAGCCCGGTGAAAGTTCATCTTGCAGCGACCTAAGAAGCCAGTGGAGCTGCCCGATTCTCGCCCCTTGCAATCCACACTCAGGTCGACCACGGCATCTCCAAGACAACCTGTGCAGTCGTCGGCGTCCCAGGCCCGCTCGCCGCAGCTGGCCTCCCCGGCAACGGAGCCGACCCCGCCCGCCGCCGAGCGAGTTTTGGAGTAGGGCGCGTTGTGCTCCAGCTGGAGCACAAGCTCGGTCACTTGCTTGCTGTAGGATGCACTCACTTTCCGGCCACTACACGTGGGATTAAGCGCATCAACGCAGCTGATATGATTGTATCCTGCAAGTACTTCAAGGATGATGACGACGACGATGATTCCAACTCTCCAACTTCTCCAGAACAACGAACTCGATGCAGTTCTGGAAGCCATGATATTATTGCACTTCTTTGCTTTTCGGTGTGCTGGTTTTTTTTTTTTTTTTTTTACTTAGTTGGTTAGTTAAGGTGTGATGATGAACAAAATCTTGGTTCCCCTTTTAAAGAAGGTTGCCTTTGTTGATTCATCCGTCATTATTATTTAATAAATGGTTAATTTATTTTCGAATCATTATAATGTTGAGGTGACAATTTATATAGCCTATTTTTGTTTCTTAATTGGTTTGCACAAAACATTTCCACGGAAAGATAAGTTAATAGATTTTAATATGTTTCGCGAAAAATAGTCTAGCCATCACTAATGTGGTGAGATCATAAGATAATCCATACAATTATTCGTAGGGCGTTGAACTAAAGATCCAATATTTTGTTTCCAAAAATAAAATAAATACAATTTCCTAGAATCCAATTAATCTGATTTTTTTGTTTTGACAAACAAGTAATCTGATTTTCAGTACAATGGGAACTGAAATTCAAGTGTAACGAAATTATGCTTAATTTTGAATTATACACTTTGGTTCTTTGCGGGCTATGCAATTTGCACGTGCTTAAATTGTCAATTCCGTGGAAGCATGGTTACTGGGGTGTAATAATAATCACTTAATAACGCAATCTTTGTTGGATTAATCAGCTTCATGGATTTTATATTGTTAATTAATTAATGATTAATTTTGCACGAGGATGACTCTCTGGTTACCTTGTATTCCTAATTACGGCAAACAGAGTAATTACCGTATCATTTTAACCAATAATATTTGAATAATTTGATTTTGTTAATTTATGTAATTGATTTGGTTTGGTATTTAAATAATTGATTTGGTTTGGTTAAATTTTTCAGATTGTTTGCTGTATGTGGTTTGGTTTGGTTTCATACGCTTCTAACCAATCAACCCAAAGTTATCACTCAAACATTCCTCACTTAACAAATATTCATATAATGTATATTTGTATTTGTAGAGTGCATACTATAACATATGGATGCTTAATCTAGATAAAAATCATACATTATGTTGGACGAAAACTTAAAAGGAATGACGTTTTCGTTAACCTCATACCATTGCATATATTTTTGTTAAGTGAATGCTTCTATTTATTGTAAGATAATTGTATTAGTTGCATATATTTATATTAAGGATTAACTATAAATATGTATTGATTGTTGTGTTTTATTCATTAGATAAATTGCGAATTGATGTATTAACCGAAAAAATTTCCCACTTATTGATAATGTGAGGTTATATTGATTAATCTGGTTAATTAATTAACCAAACCAATTAAACTTTTGTTTGAATAATTTGGTTATAATATTGTATTCTATAATTAATAGAATTTAACTTTATTTAATTTGATAATTACCGTAGTAACCATTCTAACCCCAACGTTAATAAAGGAAGCCAACCGGCTTAATCAACTTCTCGAGCTAACAGCAAAAGGGACTTCTCTCTAGTGGGAACTGGGAATACGCCCTGCAGACCTGGACTACATTAATTAAGAGGGCATGGCTTGTCTTATTTAGGGTTTTTCATTCGGGTTTGTTTTTTAATCGAAAACTAAAACCATTTAAATCATTTTTATCGCCGTCGGCCATAACTGATAACTCCCAAGTGTTGGCTCAGATTCCCTGTTATTAATCTTGGGAATGCGTTAGGATGGTGACTGAATTTTTAGTAGTCACTATGGCCACATCAGTATCCACCATTTATTTTCTTCTCTTTCCTCCTTTTTTAATCTTACGGTTAAGATTGACTCAGGATAATTTTGGAAGGAAAAAAAAAGACCACACTGGATTATTCTATATATTCTACCCTAACCCCACTTCTACAGTCAAACCCGCCCGTCCCGTCGTCACAGCCCCTCGGGGCTCCGCTGCCGCCACCGCCGGGATGCGCCGACGCCGGCTCGGAGGTCCTTCGTCCACTGCTTCTTCTGCCTCGGAAGGAGGCGTCGGAAGTTCCGGCGGGAACATGGTCCAATTCTACACCGACGATGCTCTCGGGATCAAGATCTCCCCGACCGTCGTCCTCGTCCTCAACCTCTTCTTCATAGGCTTCGTCACCGCCCTCCACGTCTTCGGCAAGCTCTACCGCAGCAAGCTCGTTCCTCCGGGAGCCCAATAAGAAGTTACTTCCCCCACTCGTCGGTTCCTCTTGCGGCATGGTTAACGGCACAACCTACGCCGTCTGTTCCATCATCTCCGTCGCCCCCGATTGGACTCGTCGTTCCGTGCGCGTAGGGGTGTCGTTCCGGTCGGATTGGTATGTTTTGTTTTAAATGGTAGTCATTTTTTTTCCGTAGTGATTTTTTTTAAATGGTAGTCATTTTTTCCCGTAGTGGTAGTGTTATTGTAGTATTGGTATTGTTTTTGTTGCATTGGTATTGATTTTGTCGCATTGGTATTGATTTTGTTACATTGGTATTGATTTTGTCGCATTGGTAGTGATTAAGTCTGCAATGATATTGATGTTTTGTGAAATGGTAGTGTTTTTATTTCTCGAATGGTATTGATGTTTTGTACAATGTAGTATTTTTTAATGAATTGATATTGATTTATTGTTTTTTTGTTGCAGCGGTATTAGTTTGGATGAACGAAATCAAAGAAAGATTGAGAAAAAGAAGGAAGAGAGATCTGGCTGAAAAATTGTCGAAGTGAGAGAAAGAGAGAGATTAAAATTGTATTTAATATATTTATGTAATTTCCTAAAGATAATTTATTAAAAAAAGATCATAATAAATTTTTTGTTATACCCAGTTTGCCCTTATTAACCACGGTGATTACTATAAAATAGTAATCACCGTAACCTGTCCCGTTTGGTCAACCCACTAATGGCTACTAAATTCGTTTTGTTTTCAGTGTCTAATGTAGTACGTGTCTAATATTCTTTTGTTTTTTTTTTTGTGTGTCTAATTTAATGTCGTACGTGTCTAACATTGTTTTTTTTAGATTTCCGTTTTGTTTGGAATAATTGTAGTATTTGAATCTTTTTGGTTCATGATGTACATTGTAAATCTCTTAATGAGGACTTATCCAATCTAGAATTGATCAAAACACGGAATGGTCGAATCATATATAAAGACACTTTATGCTCACTTTTGGACATCATCTCAATTCAAATGCTAACCCAATCCTATAAGAAGAGTTTCACCATTAAGGAATGAAATACGATTTGGGCAGGAAGAACTAGGGATTTAAAATTTAAGATTTGGGGATTTTGATTTTCAAATTGAAGAAAACATACAGAGGAAGATGATCGAATGAAGAAGGAAACTAGTTCCTTTTGTGGGTTTCGGTTAACATTAAATGGGCTCAAAGACTTTAGCCCAACCCCAAAATGACCACATAAAAGAAAATGAATTTGGTCGAGAACCAAGGTTCTGCTAATAAGCTCACACGAGTTCTAAAATATGAACTCAATAGCATCAATTCCTTGTTTCCTAAATCAAACCCAGAAAACAGAGTGCAGAAGGCAAAATGAACAAGATGCAACAGTAAGTGAAGAGACGACACAGAGATTTCAACACAGCAAAAAAACAGAAGAGAACACAAGGATCTTTAACGAGGTTCCCCACACTACGGGTCGGTCCTCGTCCCAGAATCAGTACCACTGATTTCTAAGAGACTCCTTTTTATTGATTATACCTATCAAACGGAATTCAAAAAAAGAACGCAAATAATAAGAACGATAGAAAGAACCCGGACCTCAATCCAGACCCGCCACAACCTTGACGATATAGAACCTATGCCCCTACACTCGTCAAACCCTTTGTAATCCCATGGCCTAGCCCTCTACCGCTATCTTTTCATACTAAGTTACCCCACAAGCTGAATATATATAGCCTTGAAATACTAGTCGTTGCTGCTCTTCTTCATAAGTAAGGAAAGTGACATTAGTTGCTAAAATCATGCCTTTCCTGACCAACTTTCCTTTGCTGGCTGCTTCCATTTCTAGCCTTGTTAAAACGGTAACTTGATCTTGATTGCAATCTTCAGATTTCTTGAGTTGGCACTTCGACCAACAATCTCCCCCTAAAACGAAGATTGCAATTTGTCTTGACCTGTTGAGGATGATAAACATAGCTTAAACAAAAGATTAGATCAAGTAGAGCAAAGACGTGAGCCCCTCCCCCCTTAAGACTATTATAGAACAGTAGAACCAGCAGGAGTATATCTCCCCCTCAATTTGCAATCTCCTCTTCAAACAGATCTAATAAGACACACACACATCTATAACCAAGCTCACGAGACATGGAACAAATAGAAATGTAAATATCTTTTCAAAAACATCTTACAAAAAGGATTATTAGCAAAGCAAACTAAGACCATAAGCATTGATCATAAAACTGAACAACAATAGTAAGATGTACTGAGTACTGATTACTAAGAGCTCATAGTCATAGCTAATAAGCCAAAAGTGCAGCTCTCAATATATCAATAGATTTGATGAACAATGAACAGACGAACCTGCTGTCCTAGATAACAAAAGAAATTACTTTTAACAAATTATGCATTAGAATCTAATAGGATAACCCATACGAATAAAGACCAAGCAAAGATCAAAAGGTTTCCAACAGCTCCCAAAAACTAAAGGATCAAACATTAGTGTTCTTCCGAACCCAAACCTGTTTGTATAACGGCTTTTGATACCAATGGATAAATGAGTAAGGCTTCCACCAACAAGTTCTAGTTTCATGTCCATGTTTATGGAAAACAGAACATTTAACTGAAGTTCTGTGACTATCTTTTCTAATAGGTTGCCTATTGTAAATTTGTAATACTTAACTTTAGGCGAATGATTTCTAATAGAGGTAGTAGGCACTCTACAAAATGCTTTATTATCATTAGAAGAACATGCCAAAGTATGTTTGTGTTCTAACAGATTGTAAATGTTATCTTTTTCCAATTTGACTAACTCATTTTCTCTACATAACTCAGCCATTTCAATTTTATTTAAGTCTATGATCAGATTTAGCTGAACTATCTCACTATTCTTTTTAGTAATTTCTTGCTTGAGACAACAATACTTAATTTTCAAGGTTCGGACTTCATCTTCTAGATTCCTTAAATCAAACAGAAAGTTGTCAGCATTTACCTTTGATGTTTCAGAAGATTCAGCGATAGATGGTACCTCAAAGTGATTGGTTTTCAAAGGGAGTTCTTCCTTTGCAAGAGATGATTCAAATGTAACATTTGATGCAACTTCCATGTAAGTTACCTCATCCGATCTGAATGTGTAGTCATCACGGGTAGTTGCCATTCCTCGTTCTATTGCCTTTACAGTTTGAGGACAACGTGCTCGGATATTGCCAGTTTTCCCCCACTTGTAGCAAGCTTGAGATTCCTTTTCATGCATACATGTATATATCAGATTCTCTAGTCTTCTCATTGAGCAGCCTATCACGGGGAACATCTTTTTGACGATTATGAACATTAGTTTTACCAGATTCATAAAAATGACGCTATTCATCGTCCTTGAATCTAAGCATACTATGAAATTTTTTGCTAACTAGTGCAAACTCCTTTTCAAACTCGAAATTAGCTACATTTTCATAATCGAACTCATGAACATGGGATTTAAAAGCAAGATTGTACTGGCCCTTGCCATTATCCTTTTCTACTTGCTCAATAACATGTTCATGACTTAAAAGAGATCCTATTAGTTCATCGACTGAAAGAATGTTGGGATCTTTTGCTTCTTCGATGGATGTTTGTTTTGGCAGCCATTCCTTAGGTAAAGATCGCAAAACTTTTCGTACTAATTCTTTTGATTGAAAAGTTCTACCAAGACCTTTAAGCTTATTAACTAGAATAGTGAATCTGGAATATGTATCATGGATGCCCTCTCCTGACTGCAGGTCAAAATCCTCGTAATCATTCATAAGAAGATCGATTCGAGTCTCTCTGATATTGGACATACCTTCGTAAGTGCTCTCAAGGATTTTCCACATTTCTGTTGCTATTTCACATTGTTCAACACGTTCGGCTTTATCCTCACACATTGCGCTTTGCAAAATGTGCATCGCCCGACAATTGAGTTGTGCGCTCTTCCTCTGGTCGGCAGTCCAAACATTATGCTCCGCGGGATTCATTTCGAGTGGCCCATCACAAACACTGGTCCACAAAGCTTCATCGATTCCCCAGAGAAAATTCCTCATCCGTTTCTTCCAAGCTGTGTAGTTCGAACCTGTGAACCATGGGGCAGAACCAAAGGAAAAAGAAGATGTAGCCATGGATCGATTTCCTTGGCAGTAGCGAGCTCTTCAAGGTGAGGCTCTGATACCAATTGAAATACGATTTGGGCAGGAAGAATTAGGGATTCAAAACTTAAGATTTGGGGATTTTGATTTTCAAATTGAAGAAAACACTCAGAGGAAGGCGATATAATGAAGAAGGAAACTAGTTCCTTTTGTGTTCTTTGGTTAACATTAAATAGGCTCAAAGACTTTATCCCAACCCCAAAATGACCACTTAAAAGAAAATGAATTTGTTCCAGAACCAAGGTTCTGCTAATAAGCCCACACGAGTTCTAAAATATGAACTCAATAGCATCAGTTCCTTGTTCCCTAAATCATACTAAGTTACCCCACAAGCTGACAACAAGCTAAATATATATAGCCTAGAAACACTAGTCGTTGCTGCTCTTCTTCATAAGTAAGGAAAGTGAAATTAGTTGCTAAAATCATGCCTTTCCTGACCAACTTTCTGCTGGCTGCTTCCATTTCTAGCCTTGTTAAAACGGTAACTTGATCTTGATTGCAATCTTCAGATTTTCTGAGTTGGCACTTCGACCAACAAGGTGTTAGAGTTAGTCAATAGAGTTGTAATACCACAGTGATGGGAGAAGGAAATTATAAGAATTGAGTCTTTTGACAGTTTAATTAATTAATCAGCGTTTGAATATTGTGAAAAGAGGTATCCTTTCAGAAATATAACTTCTCTTTTCTGTGAAATGATGTGTCCTTTCGGGAAAGGTAACTACCTTTTTTTCTATGAAAGAATGTGTCCTTTCGGGAAAGGTAACTACCTTTTTTCTGTGAAAGGATGTGTCTCTTCGGAGGTAACTTCCAGTTTTCACAACGATAAATAGATGACTGCCATAACTCTTTTTGAGAACGAGAGAATTTCTTTTTCTTCTCGTTTTTCTTCTCTATTTCATAAACACAGAAGTCTGCAAGATTGCTGCTTCCAGACTTAAAATTGAAGGGACTCCTGGGGGTGGTTTGCTTGAGCCTACCAGCAATTTGTAGTGGGGGCAAATAACACTCTAAGGAGAGTGAATCATTCACACCTTCAATCCAATTCTTTCCTACCAGTTTCCTGACAATCTTAGAGTGTTATTTGATGAAAACTAGATTCTGGAGCGAAGAGTACGTTGAAGGCGTATGCTATTCAAAAATGTAAGACGAATCAATGCATAAGGATCCCATACTGGAAAGGAAGGAAATATGTCATGGTCCAATTTTGCTTCTAGTGATTGCTCGATGTCGAAGGAAAAGAAGCATTTTGGCATCTCTAGAAAGCGATAACACCCTGTTCCTTTTTAATTATTGGTGTT